AGGGGAGCTGGAGGGAATCGCAGCAGCCCGAAAATCCCGGCGGTCGCTCGTGAGAGCCGCCCGGAGCTTTCCCCGCGCCGTTCGGGGCTTCCCGGCGCGGTCTGAGCGCGCTTTTGTGTCCCCAGCGCCGAGGGAGGAGGTCGCCTACGTGACCTGCACCTACAGGAGCACCTGCACCGAGCAGCCCGATTTCCTGGCCACCGTGGACCTCAACCCGCGCTCCTGCCACTACGGCCAGGTACCGGTCCCGCTGGGCCCGGGGCGGGATCGCTGCGGGGCCGCGCTCCCCGCGCCCTCCGGGGCTGCCCGGGGAGCTCTTCTTCTTCTTTCGGGGAAAAGAAACCCGAGGGACACCTTCTCCAGTCCCCTCTGCTCCCGGGGCCGCTCCCGGCCCCTCTCCGGAGCCCCCCAAAGCCCGGGGCCGCTCTCAGCACCTCTCCGGAGCCCCCCAAAGCCCGGGGCCGCTCCCGGCCCCTCTCCGGAGTCCCCCAAAGCCCGGGGCCGCTCCCGGCCCCTCTCCGGAGCCCCCCAAAGCCCGGGGCCGCTCTCAGCACCTCTCCGGAGCCCCCCAAAGCCCGGGGCCGCTCCCGGCCCCTCTCCGGAGCCCCCCAAAGCCCGGGGCCGCTCCCGGCCCCTCTCCGGAGCTCCCCAAAGCCCGGGGCTGCTCCCGGCCCCTCTCCGGAGCCCCCCAAAGCCCGGGGCTGCTCCCGGCCCCTCTCCGGAGCCCCCCAAAGCCCGGGGCCGCTCCCGGCCCCTCTCCGGAGCCCCCCAAAGCCCGGGGCCGCTCCCCTTTGTGCAGGCCCGGCCCGGCCCGGGCTGAGCTGCCTTGGCCGTGCCCAGGTGATCCACCGGCTGCCCATGCCCAACCTCAAGGACGAGCTGCACTGCGCGGGCTGGGGCCCCGCCTGCGGCTGCTTCGACAGCGGCGCCGCGGCCAGAAGGACCAGGCTGGTCCTGCCGTGCCTCATCTCCTCCCGCATCTACGTGGTGGATGTGGGCTCCCAGTGCCGGGCGCCTCGGATCTGCAAGGTACGGCCGGGCCGAGCCCGGGGCGGCAGCGAGCCAGGGAGGGAGGGAGGGGAACGGCGGGGGGCTCCGGGAGGGAGGCGCGGAGGGAGGATTCGGTGATGCCGGGAAAGGCGCCGAGCAGGCGGAGGCTGAACTTTGCGCCGATTTTTGCAGATGATCGAGCCCGTGGATGTCTTCTGGAAGTGCAACAAGGGCTACCTGGCTGTCACGCACCCGCTGCCCAACGGGGACATCCTGATCGCCAACATGGGCGACCCCGCTGGCAACGGCAAAGGTGAATTGTGCCTCCCGGAACGCCCGTTTCCCTGCCCGAACGCCCGTTTCCCTGCCCGAACTCCAATTTCCCTGCCCGAATGCCCGTTTCCCTGCCCGAACTCCAATGTCCCTGCCCGAACTGCCATCCCGGGAGTCCCCCTGGGAAGGCGGGAGCCTGGCTTTGTCACCGCCACGTCCCTCGCGTGTCCCAGGTGGCTTCCTGCAGTTGGACGGAGAGAGCTACGACCTGAAGGGCAACTGGGAGAACGAGTGTGAGGCTCCCCCGACCGGCTACGACTTCTGGTACCAGGCCCAGCACAACGTGCTGGTCAGCTCGGCCGGGATGGTGCCCAGACTGGCCGGGCGTGGCTTCAACCCCGAGGACCTCAAGAAAGGTGGGGACACGCGGCTGGCAGCGATGGCAGGGCTGAGCGCGGGGCTGGCGGGGCTCGGTGCCCCCGAGGGGCCGATTTGAGCCCCAGAGCCTTTGCCAGGCTCGGGCTGAGGATGGGCAGGGCTGGAACCCAGGGCGGGCAGGGCCGGGCTGCTCCAAAATCCTGCATTCCTCTGTGCTCTCCCCAAATCCTGCATTCCTCTGTGCTCTCCCCAAATGCTGCATTTCCCAGTTTCTCCTCCCCAAATGCTGCATTTCCCAGTTTCTCCTGCCCAGCTGCTGCCCTTTCCGTGCCGCTCCCCAGCAGGAGCCCTCCGGGGAGCGGTGCCTGTCCCCGGACACCCCCGAGCCTTTCCCCCCGTGTCCCGCAGGGGTCTTCGGCCGCCGCCTGAACGTGTGGAACTTGTCGTGCCGCAGCCTCACGCAGTGCTTCGACCTGGGCGAGGATTCCCTGCCGCTGAGCGTGCGCTTCCTGCACAGCCCCGAGGCCGCCGAGGGCTACGTGGGCTGTGCCCTGAGCGGGACCATCTTCCGCCTCTACAGATCCTGCGAGGCGAGTGCGAGCGGCGGCAGCGGCCCGGGGCTGGGGGAGCCGGCAGGGAGGAGGAGGAGGAGGAGGAGGAGGAGGAGGAGGAGGAGGAGGAGGAGGAGGAGGAGGAGGAGGAGGAGCAGCGGGGCCAGGGAGCACTAGATCCGGGGCTTGCGGGGCAGCGGGGGGATGCCCGTTGTGCCCGGCTCGGCTCGGCTCGGCTCGGGCCGGGGGCAGCGCGGCTCAGCCGGGCTCGGTGTCCCTGTGCAGAGAGACAACTGGGCCGTGGAGGAGGTGATCCGGATCCCGGCCAAGGACGTGAGGGGCTGGATCATGCCCACGATGCCAGGTTCGTGTGCCCTCGGGGCTGGCATTCCTCTTCCCCGGGCGCGTTCTGCAGCCGGGCACAGCCCGGGCGGTGACCGCAGAGCCCGGCCGGGCGGCTCCAGAGCCCTGCTCGGTGACCCCCAATCCTGGCCGAGCCCAAAGGCTGGCCGAGCCCGATGTGCCCGTCCCTGCCCCAAAGGCCAGCTCCGGCCAGGCCCCCGCGCCGCCCCCCGGCTCTGCCCGTGCCCTGAGCCCCGGCTCTGCCCGCAGCCTTCATCGCCGACCTCGTCATCAGCCCGGACGACCGGTTCCTGTACGTGAGCAACTGGTGGCACGGGGACATCCGGCAGTACGAGCTGGCCAGGAACTGCAAGCCCCGGCTGGTGGGGCAGGTGAGGGGCAGCGCCCGGCCCGGGGGGGAGCGGGGCCCGCGGGGCCGCGGCCGCGGAACGCTCGTGTGCCAGCGCGGCCCTTGCAGGTGTTCGTGGGCGGCAGCATCCTGCGAGGGGGCCCCGTGACCGTGTGCAGGGACGAGGAGCTCAAGTGCCAGCCCGAGCCGCTGGTGGTCAAGGTGAGCGGCCGGCAGGGCCGGCAGCGCCTGGGCGGGACGGGGCAGCGTGGCTGGGGCTGAGCCGGAGCGTGGGTGAGTGTGTGTGCACCGGAGCGTGGGTGCGTGCTCACCTGAGCGTGGGTGAGCGTGTGCGCACCGGAGCGTGGGTGCGTGCTCACCTGGGTGTGGGCGGTGAGTGTGTGCCCGGCTGAGCGTGGCTGTGTGTGCTCACCCGAGCGCGGGTGACCCTGAGCGTGCTCTCACTGTCCCTGATGGCAGCAGCCCCGATGCCCCCAGTGCTCCCATTAACCCCAGTCCGTGCATCCCAGTGCTCCCAGTGCCCCCAGTGCCCCCAGTCCGTGTGTCCCAGCGCTCCCAGTGCCCCCAGTCCCCCAGTCCGTGTGTCCCAGTGCCCCCAGTCCGTGTGTCCCAGTGCCCCCAGTAAGCCCAGTCCGTGTGTTCCAGTGCAAGCGCGTGTACGGCGGCCCCGCCGCGCTGCAGCTGAGCCTGGACGGGAAGCGGCTCTACGTGACCAACTCCTTCTACAGCACCTGGGACCAGCAGTTCTACCCCAGCCTGATCAAGTGAGCCACCCGCGGCTGCCAAAGGCTCCGCGGGCCCGGGCGGGCGTGGGGAAGGGGCCGCGACCCCTCGGGGCTGCCCCGGAGCCGCTCCCGGCCGAGCCCCGGCGGGGCCGGGATGGAGCCGAGCCCGGGCTGAGCTCGGCCCAAGGGGGTCCGGCCTGGCCGGGCGCAGCCTGAGCCGCTGCAGGGCGAGCTGGGGAGGAGCAGGAGGCGCCGAGCCCGTCCTGCGCACGGCTTTGTGCCCCTCCTGCGGGCAGCGGGGAGCCAGAGGCGGCCCAGCCCGTGCCGCTGGCCCCGGCCGGGCGCTCCCCGCAGCGGCCCCGGGGCGCTGTCCCACGAGCCGCCGCTGTCCCCGCGCAGGGAGGGCTCGGTGATGCTGCAGCTCGACGTGGACACGGACAAGGGCGGCCTGACCGTCAACAAGAACTTCCTGGTGGATTTCGGCAAGGAGCCCAACGGGCCGTGCCTGGCGCACGAGATTCGCTTCCCCGGCGGCGATTCCAAATCCGTGACCCTGCCCTGAGCCACCCCGGCAGCGCCGCTGTCCCGCCGGCAGCGCCGGCCTCGGCTGCGGCACCGGGGCTCCCGGGGGATCCGGGCTTTGGGGTGCCCTGGGGGATGGGTTTGGGGGGATCCGGGCTTTGGGATGCCCCGGGTGATGGGTTTGGGGGATCCGGGCTTTGGGGTGCCCTGGGGGATGGCTTTGGGGGGATTCGGGCTTTGGGGTGCCCTGGGTGATGGGTTTGGGGGGATTCGGGCTTTGGGGTGCCCCAGGTGATTTCAGGGTTTGGGATCCCCCGGGCCATTCCCGGCCATCCCTGTCCCCTGTTCCCGGTCCCCGTCCCCCTCCCCGGGCAGCTCTGCTTTCCCTGCAATCAATAAAGTTTTTCCTGCATCAGCTGCAGCTTCCCGAGGCTCATTCCGGGAAAAATCCCGGGACAAACCAATCCCGGCGGGGCCTGGAAATCCCCGGGCCGGGCCGGGCCGGGCCGTGCGGGGATCGCTGGAAGTGTCTGGGAGAAATTCCTGGCGCTGGTGCTTTTCCTGGGGGTTTGCTTCCAGGGGTGGATTTAATCCCTATTTTATGCCCATTTCATCCCTATTTTTCCCCTATTTTATGATCATTCTTCTCTGTTTCCTCCTCTATTTTTACACATCTTACCTCTATTTCATCCCTATTTAATTTATATTTTATTTCTGTTCTGTCCCCTTTTTATCCCTATCTTATCTCTATACAACAAAAAAAAAAGTAAAAATGTCGGAAAATGACATGGTTTTTTAAGCCAAAAAATACCAAAAATTCCCAATAACCCTAAATAATTGAATTTCAGCTGCTGGAAGGGGAAATTTATTGGGATTTTTGATTAGAAAGATCAAAGGTGATTTTTAGGAGGGGCTGATCCAGCATAGGAATTTTGGGAGTGGATGAAACCCTAGGCACCCCAAATTTCCTGGGAAATGGATGGAGAGAGGAAAGAATGGGGAAAAAATGGGATACATCCTGAATTTCCTGGGATCAGAAATTCACTGCTGGGGGTGCAGTCCCTGAATTCCCAGATTCCCTGGATCACAGGCAAGTGTTGGAGGTGCAATCCCCCATTTCCACATCCCCAAACATTCCTGGAATTCCAGTGGGATCACAGCCAGATGTCGGAAGTGCAGTCCCCATTCCCAAACATTCCCAGAATTCCCAGATTTCCGGGATCACAGCCAGATGTCGGAGGTGCAGTCCCCCCCCGGGTAGCGCATCTCGTGCGCCAGGCAGGGCCCGCCCGGCTCCTTCCCGAAATCCAGCAGGAATTCGGGATTCACGGCCAGCCCCCCCTGCTCCGTGTCCACGTCCAGCTGCAGCAGCACCGAGCCCTCCCTGTGAACACCAGGGAAAAAGGGAAAAAATGGGATTGGGAAAAGACAAAGGGGCTGGGAAAAGGTTTGGCTGATGTGATTAAAACTGAATTAATCATCAATTAATAACCAATTAGCACCAATTAATAACAAATTATAGTTAGCAATAATGCAATAATAAGCAATATTGCAATAACTAGCAATATTGCAATGATTAGCAATCAATTAGCTGCCATTTAACAATCAACTAATAACCACTGAATTACCGATTAATCACCAACTAAAAACCAATTAATAATGAATAATCAGTAATAATCAGTAACCAATGATAACCAACAGGCTGTTACTGACCGCTCAGTCGATCAGCAATTGATGCCTGATCGGTAATCAGTAATCAGATCAGTAATCAATAATCAGATCAATGATCAATAGCCAATAACTAGATCGGTGATCAGTAATCAATAATCAGTGATCAGTACTCACTCAATCAGGCTGGGGTAGAACTGCCGGTCAATAATCGCATCAGTAATCAATAACCAGCTTGGCGATCAATAATCAATACCCAATAATCAATAACTGATAATCAATAACCGGTGATCAATACTCACTTGATGAGGCCGGGGTAGAACTGCCGGTCCCAGGCGCTGAACAGCGACGTGCTCACGTAGAGGCGCCGCCCGTCCAGGCTCAGCTGCAGCATCTGCGGCCCCCCCGGGATCTGCTTCCCCTGAATCCCGAAAATCCCAGAGTCAGGAGCGGCCCCCCCCGGGATCTGCTTCCCCTGAATCCCGAAAATCCCGGATCCGCTTCCCCTGAATCCTGGAAAATCCCATCCCCGGCTTTGGGGAGAAAACTGAAGTTTTTGGGAATTTTTGCCTCGGAACAGGAGCACTGGAGTGGTTGGAGATGAGTCAGGGAATACAGGATGAAAGATTTGGAATTCTCCGGGATTTTTTTAGAGATTTCTGGAGTTATTAAGGTTGGGAAAACCCTGCGGGAATCATCAAATCCAAGGATTTTTCCCAATTTTTGGCATTTTTTTGGTCCCATTTTGGCAATTTTTTGTCCCATCCTCATCTCCCCAAAAGATTTTCCAACAATTCCAGGGGTGAAAATTCCAGAATTTCCTTGCCCTGGGGGTGTCCAAGAGATTTTTGATTCCCCATCCCAGAATTTGCCATGAAAAACTATCAATTAATAGTTGAAGTGGGAAATCCGGGAATATTTCCCCAAATTTCTTAATTCTGATTTTTTTCCAAGGGAAAATTGGGATTTCAGGGACGAAACCCATCCCTAAGGAAGGAAAACCCAGGTGGGAACAACCTCAGGAAGGATGCTGAGTGTTGGGAATTTCCAAAAATCTGGGAAGAATCGGGAAGAAAGTTTGGGAATCTTCACCTGGATCACGCACGGCTCGGGCTGATCCTGCAATTCCTGATCTTCCAGCACGGTCACAGCTCCCCCTTTGGAGATGCTGCCTCCCACAAAAACCTGGAAAACCATGGAAAAAAATCCATGGTAAATCTGAATGAATCCCTTCAAAGCCGCGGGAATTGGGTTTTTTGGGAATTTTTCCCTCACCTGCCCCACCAGTTTGGGATTTTTGGGGTCGGAGATGTTGTACTGCCGCACGTCCCCGTGGATCCAGTTGCTGAAATACAGGAATCTGTCGTCCAGGGAAATCAGGATATCCGTGATCAGCCCTTCCCAAGGGAATTCCAGAGGAAAATCAGGGAATGGGAGCAGAGAGAATCCCAAAAGTCACCAAATTCCCATGTGAAAATGCCAAGAAATGGGGTTGGGAAGGAGATGGGAGGAACAACATCAACCTCGGGAATTACTCCGGAATTCCTGAGGGAATTCCTACAATTCCTGAGGAAATCCAGACCCAAATTCCAGACACTTTATGGAGAGGAAGAAAGGATGGAACCAATTCAGATGCAAATTCCAAGGATTTTTGTGGAACATCAACCTTGGGAATTGTCCCAAGGCTCTCCAGCATTCCCAGGACCATTCCTGAGCAAATCCAGGCTCAAATTCCAAGGATTTCCCTGGAAAATCCCACCCCTAAGCACAGAGCAGATCCCACTCTGGGGTTCCTTTGCTCATCCCAAAATTCTCCCCCAAAAAAACCCCAACATTTGGAATTTTTTGCCATTTAAGGATAGAATTCTGCCAAAATCCGCTCTGGAACTGTGAGAAAATTCTCAAATTCTTCCCAGATTTCTCCCACTGACCTGGCATTTCTGGGAGGAGCCATCCTTGGACTTTCTTGCTGGGCACCTCAATCACCTTCTCCGCTTCCCATTTTCCTTCCTGAGGGACAGAAAACATGGAATTATTATCCCAAAATTCCCAAAACACATGGAATATCCACCCCATCCTACAGCGATAAAACCTGGGAGATTCCCCTGGAAACACCTGGAATTCAATGGAAAAAGCCCCAATTCCTGCAGGTTCTGCCTGAATTCCCGGGAATTCACTGAATTTTTGTGGCACCTGTGGATGTCCTCGCTCAGGGCAAGGAAACCATGGAAAAATCCCTGGAAACACCTGGAATTCAATGGAAAAAGCCCCAGTTCCTGCAGGTTCTGCCTGAATTCCCGGGAATTCACTGAATTTTTGTGGCACCTGTGCATGTCCTCGCTCAGGGCAAGGAAACCATGGAAAAATCCCTGGAAACACCTGGAATTCCATGGAAAAAGCCCCAGTTCCTGCAGTTCTGCCTGAATTCCCGGGGATTCAGTGAATTTTTGTGGCACCTGTGGATGTCCTTACTCAGGGCAAGGAAACCATGGAAAATCACTGGAAACACCTGGAATTCCATGGAAAAAGCCCCAGTTCCTGCAGTTCTGCCTGAATTCCCGGGGATTCAGTGAATTTTTGTGGCACCTGTGGATGTCCTTGCTCAGGGCAAGGAAACCACGGAAAAATCCCTGGAAATGCCTGGAATTCCATGGAAAACCCCAGGAATTCCAGGGGAAAAGCCCCAGTTCCCTGCCGCTCGCCCTGAAATCCCGGGAATTCACCGAGTTCCTGTGGAAGCGCTGGATCTGCCCGCTCAGGGCGCAGCCCACGAAGCCCTGGGCGGCGCTGGGGTCGTGCAGGAAGCGGATTTCCAGCGGGATGGATCCCGAGCCCAGATCCAGCTCCTGCACCAGGCGCCGCCCGCTCCAGTCCCACACGTTGATGCGGCGCCCGTAGTGCCCTGGGAAAGGGGAGACGTTCCCAAAATCCCGAGGTTTTACGGAATGTGCAGCGGTTCAGGGTGAAACGGGGGTAAAAGCAGGATTTAAAAAAAAAATTGGATTTTTTAAAAGGGTTTTAAAGGTGGGAAATTGAATTTTTGAGGAGTTTGTAAGGTCAACGCTCGGACTTTTTTTTTTAGGAATTTCCACACAAAATGTGGATTTTTTTTTAGGAGTTTTGACTGTCAAAAATTGGATTTTTTATGAGTTTCTGCTCTCAAAAATGGAATTTTCCAGGGTTTCCCAGATTTCCCACTGACCTTTCTCCACATCCCTGGGATCGAATCCCTGGGCCAGGATTTTGGGAACGCCCCACTCGGTGCTGAGCAGGACGTTGTGCCGGGGCTGGTACCAGAAGTCGTAGCCCAAATTGGGGATTTTTCCTCCTTTTTCCCAATTTCCTTTCACTTCGAAGGTTTCTCCATCCAGGAGGATGAAAGTGCCTGGAAAAAATTCCCAAAAAAAGGAGTTTGGAGAGATTTATAGAAATTGAAATAAAGCAAATAAATGTTTTCTTTAAACATTATTATTATTATTATTATTATTATTATTACTATTACTATTACTATTATTACTATTATTACTATTATACTCACCAATAACAAAAAACAGTTCCTAAAATTATTTCCCATTATTTTATTATTGGTAATAAAAATAATTTCCTAGGATTTTGTATTTTTCTATAATAATAATAATAATAACAATTCCTAAAACTATTTTGCTTTAAATAAAGCAAATTATTTATATTTACTTTCCTTTTTTATTAAACAAAACATAAAAACAGCCTGGGAAATCAATAAAAACCTGCAGGAATGTGCTAAAAATTTCAGGAAAATTCCAGATATTCCATGAATTGTGCAGGGAAGTGAATCCCTGGGGGTGTTTTTATGGAATTTGGAGGAATTCCAAACCTTTTCCGTTGCCATCAGGATCCCCCAGGCAGCTGATGAGGATTTCCCCGGAGCCCAGGCAGTGGGAAGTGTGTGGGAATGCAGCGTTCCCCTTCCGGGCCAGCTCCTCAGCTTCCACCACCTGGAATGGGGAAAAATGGGGAAAATTCCTCAGCTTCCACCACCTGGAATGGGGAAAATGGGAAAAATGGGGAAGATTCCTCAGCTTCCTCCACCTGGAATGGGGAAAATGGGAAAAATGGGGCAAATTCCTCAGCTTCCACCACCTGGAATGGGGAAAAATGGGAAAATTCCTGGAAATCAGGTTGAGGGGGGAAATGGGGATTTCTGGGCAAAGGTTTGTGGGAATGTTTGAAGGGAAAAGAAGGGAAAAAAGGGGAAAAAAGAGAAAAAATGGAAAAAAATGGAAAACCCAGGGAATAAACCAGGAAATAAAGAGGGGAAAGAGGAAGAAATTGGGATAAAAGGATGAAATAAGGGGAAAAACAAGTGGGGGAAAAGCAGGAAAAAAGGGGGAATTCCAAACCTTGTGGAGTTTGGGAGCCCTGGGATCGGTTCCCACGTCCACGATGTAGATGCGGGAGGAGATGAGGCTGGGAAGGATCAGGAAATTCCTGGATTTTGTGGGATCACTGTGGCAGCTGCTGCAGGCGTTCCAGCCTGAGTGGTGCAGCTCGTCCCCCACGTTGGGCATGGGCAGGCGGTGGATTACCTGGAAAAACAGGGATCCAGCTCCTGGATTTTCCTGGAATTTTGGGGATTTCAGACCCTGCCAGTGCTGGGGGAGGATTTGAGGTCCTGGATTTTCTTGGATTTGGGATGCCAAGTTCTCACGGATTCTCCCAGATTCAGGATCCCAGATTCCCCTGGGATCTTCCAGATTCAGGATCCCAGATTCGGGATCCCAGATTCCCCCAAATTCAGGATCCCGGATTCCCCCAGATTCAGGATCCCAGATTCCCCCAGATTCTCCCAGATTCAGGACCCAGATGGTCCCAGATTCAGGACCCAGATGGTCCCAGATTCAGGATCCCAGATTCCCCCAGATTCTCCCAGATTCAGGATCCCAGATTCCCAGATTCTCCCAGATTCAGGATCCCAAATTCCCCCAGATTCTCCCAGATTCAGGATCCCAGATTCCCCCAGATTCCCCTGGGCTCTCCCGCCCCATACCTGGCAGTACCGAGGGGATTTGGGATCCACATCCACGGTGGCCAGGAAGTCAGGAATGCTGATCCCGGTGTTCTGGTAGATGCAGGGCAGGTAGAGCAGCTGCTCCCGGGGCCCTGCGGGCACACTTTGGGATCAATCCCCCTGAATTCCAGCTTTTCCTGCTTCTCATCCATTGCCTCTGCCCCCGATCCCAAAGCAATTCCAGCATTTGGGAATGCTGGCCCAGCACTTGCCTTTCATGGCCTCCAGAGGGCTGGGGTAGCCTGGCCCGCACGCTCCGCACTTTCCTGCTGGAAAAGGGCAAAATTCCATCATTCCCACATCCCAAACTTCCCAGAACAGCCGCCAAAATTCCTGGGAATTTGGGGCTTTCCATTGGTTCCTCATTGCCAATCCCCCGTTCCCACTTCCCAGCCTTAAATCCACGGAATTCCCCATTCCCAACTCCTTATTCCCAGTTCCTCATTCCCAGTTTTTGTGCCATGGATTTGCTCATTCCAGGGGAAAAAAAAATTGGAATTTATCCCAATTTTTGTGCCTTGGATTTGCTCTTTCCAGGGGAAAGAAACCACTGGAATTTATCCCAATTTTTAGCTCCCCGAGTTGTCCCAAAGTGTCAGATTCAAAGGGATAAATTTGGGACTTTAGCAAGGGCTGCAAAAAATGGGAATTTCTTTGGAATTCCAGGGTTTAAAATCAGAATATTCCAAGTTTTAGGGATGCAAATCCAGATTAAATTTGGGAAAAATAAAATTGAAATTCAAATGAAAACGACAGAGAAGCCACTGGAAAAAATCCAGGAATTTCAGGAATCTTCTCCCAAAAAACCCAAATTCCCAAGGAAATTTATGGAGTTAATTTTTCAGAGCATTCCAGGATTTATTTCCTTCCACAATTCCTGAGTTTTTGGAGCTCCCAGGTCCTTCCAGGTGTGTCAGTCATTCCCAAAGTTTTTTATTGACTTCCAGGAACTTGGAGCCAAAAAAATTTCTCAAAATATTCCACTTGGGAGTGAAAAATACCCAGGAAATTCAGGATAGTTTTGGTTAGAGTATTGATACTTTTTGGCTACACATTCCTGCTAAAAATTCCTCATTTTTGGCTGGGTTTGATCCCAACATTCCTGATATTTTCCCTCAGTTTTGAACTCCCAATATTTCCCATGGAAACGGTTTCCAAGTTTTTGGCCCCTCCTACTTTTTCCTCAGAGCCAAAAGTCAAAGTTCCTGGAAATCCGAGGTTTTATCCTCAAAAAACAAAAAACAAAACAAAAACAAAAAAAAAAAAAAAACCCAAAAAAAACCACCAGGAAAAACATCCTGAAAATCAAAGACTTATCTCAAAAATATGGAACATGTCAGGGAAAAGCTCAAATCTGAACCTTAAGGATTTTTCCAAGAGTTTTTCCTGTTCTCGAGCAGCAAACCAGGAGTTTCTCCCAGTTTTTAGAAGTTTAGGGATTAAAAATTCCCAATTAATTCCAGGGAAAATGGATTTTAATGAAGAAACTCAAGGTCTTAATTAAAGTCCACAGGGGTTTTAGGGACTATTTAAATATTTAAATGCAGGGAAAAGCTGGACTTTCACCGTCCCCCCCACCCTCGGGAAGCCAAAAGCAGCAAATCCCGGGATTTTGGGATTTTTTTGGGATTGCTGGGGATTTTGGGATCTCTTACCCATCCTGGATCGGGCTGGGAATGGGAACTCCAGGAATTTCGTGGGATTTTTATGGCTAAACAGCCGGGGAAGGTCGGAAATCCAGGGAAAAGGGAGGGGTTTGGGAGAGGAGGAGCCAAGGGGAGGATCCAGGGCCCGGAAAAAACAAAATTCCTGCTTAAAATTCCCAAGGGAAACTTCCGAACTTCTCGCACCGTGGAATTCCTGCTTTCCACCGCCCCTCCCCCCCCCCCGATTTTCTCCTTTTTATTCCAAATTTTCCTGGGTTTTTTTGTTTGTTTGTTTGTTTGTTTTCCCAGCCTGGAGAAGGAATTTGGGAATAGTGAAGGAGGAAGGAGTTTTGTCTGAAAAAAATGGGGATTTTGGAAATGCTTCTAGGAGTTTTGATTCAAAACCTCGGGATTTTGGGAATATTTCCAGGGAATTCTCTCCCAAGGGACTGCAGCAACTTTTAAAAATATTTTGTGGCATTTCTGGGTGGAAAAAAATTTTTAAAAATCCAAAGAAATAACGTTTTCTCCCTCTGGAAAATCAGGATCTCACTCCTAATTCCTGGGTTATCCCTAATGAGAATTAATATATTAATTAATGATTATTTATTTCTTTAGTATAGAATTTTAAAGGAATCTGCCTTTTTTCCTCTCTCCAGGGAATATTAACCCTAACCCCTAACCCTAACCCTAACCCTAACCCTAACCCTAACCCATTCTTTTACATTCATGCTTTTTCCATGAACCACCAAGAAATGCGGAGGGGGGGGGGGGGGGAAGAGATTTTTCTGCTATGAAAAAAGAGATTTTAATTATTATTTTTGGATTGTTCTCTTTATTATTGAAGATATTTAAATTATTTATTTTTCCAATTTTTGCTGTTTCTCACTCACTTTTTGGTCTGTTTCCCCCCTTTTGGGGATGTCTTACCTCATTTTTGGGGCTGTTTTACTTCATCTTGGGGCTGGCTCAGGTGGGCAGTTTTTGGCCTCAAGTGAGAGATTTTAGCCAGGGCCTAACCTGGGGTTGTCAGGGAGGGCTGACCCAAAAGCCCATCCAGGTAAAGGCAACACCTGCCCAAGGTGGGAGATTTTGCCCTCAGGTGAAGAATTTTTGCCGTCAGCTGGACAATTTGGCCTCAGGTAGGACATTTTGGCCGGGGAGCCCCGAGCACCCCACAGCTGCGTGGGCTGACCGCTCTTCACAGCCCGCCCGGCCCTGAGGGGCTCTCGGGCCGCTCGCACCCAGCGCGGGGCACCGGCCCGGGAGCTCCGCCTCAGCCCGTGAGGCAGCGCTGGCCGCTTCTCCCGCCGCTCCACAAGGTCTCGGCCCTCCGAGCCCGCTCGGAACCGCGGCAGCGGCGGGTCCGTGAGGGGAGGACCCGCGGGGAGCGGGAAGGGGTCGCGACCCAGCGCCGCCATTTTCCCGCCCTTCCCCTTCCCTCCCTCAGCCGCCTCAGGGCCCGGCCCCCGTGACGTCACTGCGCGCAGCAGGAAGTGACGTCAGCGGTATCCCTCCGCCGGCCAGGTCCCCTTTTTGTGTGTGTGGTGTGTGTGTTGTGTGTGGTGCGGCTGCGGGCGCCGCGCGCCTGTATCAGCCCGCCGGGCCCGACGACCTTTTTTTTCTTATCCCCCCCCCCCTTTTCCGTAAGGGGTGAAGTAGAGGAGGAGAGGGGGGCGGAAAAAACCCACACGCACGCCAAGCACGGAGCCGCCCCCCGGCAGAACGTACAGAGGGCGAGCATAGCCAGGGATAATTCCTCCTTCTTCATCACCGTCTTCATCCTCCTCCTCAGCATCCCGCCAAGTGGGGGGGGGGAGTGGGGGGGCTCATGCCACCTGCCCCCGCGCCCTGCGGGTCGCCTCGCCCGGAGAGCGGCGGAGCCCCGTAGGAGCGAGCGGCGGCAGCGCTGAGGAAGGTGAGGCGGGGGGCGCGGGGAAGGGGGGGGCAGATGAAGGCGGCGGAGCCCCCCGGGGGTGGCGGTGGCGGCGGCGGCATGGGGGGAGATGAAGGGGGGGGAGGGATCGGAGACGGTGGAACCGGCTCGAGCCGCCCGGGAAAGGGGGAGAAGGGGGGAATGAAGTGAGGGGGGGGCGGCAGGGCCGGAGCGCGCCGTACACAAAGCGGTGGCGGGAGGAGGAGGAGGAGAAGGAGGAGGGAGGGCTCGCGGTGCCGAGGAGGGGCCGGGGAGGAGCCGCGGCGGCTCCGGCGGCCGCTCCCGCCGGGCCCCGGGCGGGCGCTGAGGGACGCGGAGGGATCCGCGCGCAGCCCTGACGGCCCGGGGGGCGCGGTGAAGCGGCCGCCCTCAGGGGAGGGGGGCGGCGGTGATGAGGCCCCGCCGCCGCTCCCTCCGCGCACCCTCCCTCACGCCACACCGGGGGTCCCCTCACGGCCCCCTCACGGTTCCCTTACCGTCGCCCCACGGTCGCCACCGCCGGGATGAGGAAGGGACGGTCGTGTCCGTCCTTTCCCGGTGCTGCCGCCCCCTCCTCTCTTTGGCGGCGCCGCTTCGCTGGTGGGCGGCCATGTTGGGCACGGGGATTATTTTTCGCTCTCTTTCTTAGCCGCCACAATACGCTGAGGGTGTGTGTGGGGGGCTTTTCCTGGAGTTCTCGGGAGAAACGGCCTTTTCCCGGTTTTTAGGGGAGGTTAAGGAAAAGGGGAGGGTCTGGGCTCAGCGGTTTGCAGGGTGAGACCACCCCCCCATCATCCTTGGCCTGCTGGTGCTGCACCTTCGCTGAGTGAGTGCCCCTGTCCAGCGCCGTGAGCGGGGGGAGCCCTCGGCCGCAGGGATTTGGGATCCTAGTCTTCTTCCCCGGGGATTTGGGATTGGGATCCCACCTGTATTCCCCGGGGATTTGGGATTGGTGTTCCAACCTTTTCCTGAGAGATCCAGGATTGCCATCCCACCGCTCTTCCTCAGGGATCTCACCTATCTCTTCAGGGATTTGGGATTGGGATCCCAGCCTTCTCAGGGATTTGGGCTCACCACCCCACCCCTCTTCCCAGTTTTTCCCGTCCCTGTCCTGTCCCTCCAGTGTCACCCTCAGGAGCGGCTCCATCCCCTCATCCTGCCCGGATCCAAGCAGCAAAAAATGGGAAAACTCCTCATTTTCTCCCCTGCCCAAGCCAGGATCCCAGAACTCCTGGGAGAGGCTGAGGAGAGCAGGAATTACCCCCCTCCAGCAGGATTTGGGATTCCATCCCAAAAATCCCCTGAGGCTGCTGCTGCTGCTCTGATAATTCCCAGTGTTTGAGGTTTTCCTGGAATTCACTGTGGCTAGAATGTGCCAGGGAGCTGGGGAGGGATAGGATCCTGCTTCCCAAAACCACGATTTTATTGGAATTCACTGGATTTTATTGGGATTCAGCTGATCCCAGCGTGGGCAGAGGATGGGAGGGATCTCACCAGAACAATTCCCAAAGGTGCTGAAAAAAGAAAATTTAAAGATAAAAATAAAGCATTTTAGAGGCTTTTAATGATTAATTGGCACAAATTAAATCTGATTAATTAATAGGATGAAGTTTTAAATGTTTTTCTTATGGATGGGAAGATGAAGGGGGAAGTGCCAAAGGAAATTTACTTTTAGTTTCCTAAATTCCTCAAAATTCCCAGAATTTCCCAAATTCCTGGATGTTTTAGGGCTGGTAATTAAACAGAATTAGTAATTATTAGTACCATTTATTTTGGGTCTTGTATCCACCTCAAAGCCAAGGAAAACCATCCATTCCTGATATTTTTGGGATTATATTTCCAGCTTCCCAAGGCCTGGAGGTGAGGAGTGTTTTGGGAAGAGGCAGGTGAACATTCCAAGGTTCTGCCTGTGGGATGGGAGACAACAAAATCCCATTTTTTCCCCCATTCCAGGAAAATTTTCCACAATTCCCCCCATCCCCAGCTGAAGTAATGGAGAGAATTCCTGGGGTGGGAAGCTCTGGTTAATTTTTGGTTTTATCCCTGCAAATTTTTCTTTTAATCCCAAAATTTTTGGAATTCTCCAAGTGTTTTAATTTTGATTTAATTTTTTTTTTTTGTTCTAATTTTAATTAAAATACCCCAAACCAAAGGTCCTGCTGCTCATTCCAAGTGGGGAATTTTGGGATAACCAAAAATCCTTTGGGATTTTTTTAAATCTTAATTTTTTTGGATTTAAAATTTTTAAAACCACGAAGTTACCTGAAATTCTTCAGTGGGAGAGGCAAAATATTCCAATTTTGAGTCAGTCCTGGGGATTTTAATCCCAAATTCCACGGATTCCCTTGGAAAGATACAGAAATTTTAAACGAGAGAAATAACTTGGAAGTCCTTAGTGGGAAAGGAGGGAAAAAACAATTTTGAGTCAAATCCAGGAATTTTCCTCAGATTTCCCTGGGAAAAAAAGCCAGAAATAGCCTGAAAATTTTCAGCTCCTTTTGTTTTCTCTTGGAATCTTGGGATCTAAAACCAATCCAAACCCATTATTCCCATTCCTCCCCTTGGAAAAAAAATTCCCTGTGAGTTTTTTAGTGCCAAATTCCCTTTTCCCCCCCTGTTTTTCCAGGATGGCAGACACGGATCTTTTCATGGAATGCGAGGAGGAGGAGCTGGAGCCATGGCAGAAAATCAGCGACGTCATCGAGGACTCCGTGGTGGAGGATTACAATTCCATGGAAAAAACTCCCACAGGTCATTTCCCCCTTTTCCCTCCTCACTGTCCCGCTTTTCCCACTGATGTTTCCCATTTTCTCACTGACTTTTCCATATTTCCCACGTACATTTCCCCATATTCTTGTGGATTTCCCCCCCATATTCCCATGGATTTTCTGCCCTTTCCCCATGGATTTTTTCCCCATATTCCCATGGATTTAGCCCCCTTTCCCCACGGATTTCCCCCCACATTCCCCTGGCTTTTCTCCCTTTCCCCATGGATTTCCCCCCCACATTCCCCTGGCTTTTCCCTCTTTCCACATGGGTTTTCCCCCCACATCCCCAGGGTTTTCCCGCTTTCCCCACGGGTGTTCCGGCTGTTTTCCAGGCGGGAATGCCGCTGTCCAGCCAGGCGGGCAGTCCCTGCTGCTGGCGCAGAGCCCCGCGCCCAGCCTGGGGGCAGTGGTCACTCAGCCCCTGCTGCGGCCGGTGCAGCTGATGCAGAATGCCAACCACGGCACCAATCCCCCTGCGGGCACCCAACCCATCTTCATCACCACCCAGGTGAGCTCCCCAGCCCGGAATGCCGCGGGAAATCGCTGGGAAAACCACGCTTTCCTGGGAAAATTCCCATTTCTTGCTCCCTTTTTGCTGCTGCTTTTCCCATCGTGCCAAAATCCACCTGGGTTTGTGGGATGGGGGTTTGCCCTCATTGCTTGGTTTGATTTTTCTGGGAGATTTCCTTGAATTCTGTGGAAAATCCATGGAAAACTGCTCTTTCCTGGGAAAAAAAATCCCATTTTTCAGTGTTTTTTTTAATGCTGGTTTTCCCCCGGGGTTGTGGGATGGGAGTTGGACCCCACTGAGTGTATGGCTCAACAAAACTGCAAACCTCGAGAGGTTTTGTTTTCCTGGGAAGAGCCCCTGCCCTCAAATTCCATGGGAAATCCTTGGAAAAACCTGGTTTTGGGCTGCTTTGGGATGGTTTTGGGTTACTTTGGGACGGTTTTGGGGCTGATTCACCCCTTGGTTCCAGGGGTTCCCGGTGCAGAATGTCCGGCCCGTGCAGAGCCCCATGAACCAGCTGGGCATCGTGCTCAACGTCCAGCAGGGCCAGACAGTCCGGCCCATCACCCTCGTGCCAGGTAATTAACTCATTAATCAAATAACAACCATTCAGCAATAGCTAGTAATGGGAATAATGCTAATAGTGATGATGGTGATGAGGTGTGGCCAGTGTAGAGCCCCATGAGCCCGTCCCCCTTTTTTGTGCCAGGTAATGGTATTATTATTATTCAATAATAATAACAATAATAACAATAATAACAAAACAAGAGCAACATTAACACTTAATACTAATACTAATGCTAACTATTACTAATAATAATGTCAAGTGGGCAATGCAGAACTCTATGGGCCTGTCCCCCATGTGCCAGGTAATGTTATTATTATTTAACAACAACAATAACAACAATAATAGCAATAACAACAATAAAATAGCAATAATAATAGTATCATTAATCATCA